TTGAGAGCTGAGCTGGTGCTTGGGCTGATAACTGCCCTCTGCTTTAGGCGAAGTCACCTTGCACGAGGAACACTGCAGCCCTTCAAGGGCTCCTGCCGCGGCTGACATGGATGGTACACAATCCGGTTAGGGCTGCTTTACTTAATCCGTGGACTCCCTTCTACAGCATTGCATAAACGGCATTAGAGCTCCCCTAAACTCTTCCCGTGTCACTAGTTGTATCTTTTAATGTTTTTAAATCTTCAGTTCTCTCCTTTAGCCACAACATCGCTTTGTTCTCCTTGTTCTCCACACTGTTTCACCATTTACACCTTCTTGAAAGTTACTGTCCAAGCTGCCTAGCTCTCCTGAATCCCACTACCAGGCGACAATAAGGGAGTGGATAAAGACAGACTCTCACTGAGCATTTAAAATCGTTCAGTAACTGAACTGTAGCAATTTGTTTGATTCCATTAATTAATTTGGTTCCCAGCTTCTTGTTTCTTCACTTACCACATTGGATTTCTGAATACAGTGTGGAGGAGCATTGCAAGAGCATCAGGAAAGGAACTTTCCTGATTGTTTTCAGTAAATCTGTTGTGCAAATAAAAAGTGGTAACTAACTTGCGCGATGCAACTCGGTACTTAAGATTTGCAAATTCATTGAGTTTTATGGTCTAGTTCAGGAATATTAGTTTATGCAATGAAGAACTATTAGAGGTTTTATTGCTGTTTCTACATAGGACATTCCATTGTTGTTGTCATGTTGCTATCACAAAGGTGTGCAGGACAATGCTGACAACTGAGTGTGTTCTCCAAGGCAGCCACTTTGAATGGCCTGTATCAAATTTCTGATGTGACACAGGATTCGAGTAATGCAAGTACATTTTTTACAGTCTGTAGGATACGAGAGTTTGGGAAAATTGTTGTGGGTTTGGGGTTTATTCTGAATCAAAGAGCTTTATTTTTATCAGACAACAGGAATCAAATTGCTGTATGTGAAGACTAGATTTTTCAGTATGATTTTTCACATTCCACTGGTTCTGGTATGATAGAAAGTAAAACTAACCCAGGCAAACTTAAATACTGCTTTCTGGCTCCTCTCAGTGAGGGGATCTCTCACTTCCCTAAGACTGGGCATTCCTATCAAGAAAACCAACCATGGAGTCAGTTTTCCTCACTGTTTTCCATGGGTTTATTAAGGTAAATCCCAAGGACAAACAAAGCAATGGGAAGGAGCTCTCCGAGCAGTACTTAGAACACAGGAAGCCATTTAGAGAAGGTTTGTAATACGTCTGCATGGCAATTATCCTCCTCTGTGGACAGCCCTCGTGGTAGTTATTAGTCTACCATCTTGTGCTGTTACTGTTGTATCTTCTTACAGTGTATTTGTATTTTACAACATCATTACCCTTCTTCTGTGTTTAAATTTTACCTGAAATACAGTTCAATGTAAGTATGATGCAGGGGTTTTATACATTGGCTAACTCAAGACTTGTAAAGAAGTTAATTTCTTTTACCTTTAACAGGGAAGGATTTTGGAGAAGACTGGACTTTGCAATCAAATCACATTTGGCCGATACGTGCGACAGGGACGGAAACTAGGGGTGGATCCAAAGCTCTTTATCCAGGATCTGCAGTTTAACAAAGTACCTGTGAGGGTTTATCAGCCTAAAGCTATCTCTGATGGGCGAAGGAGAGCTCTCATCTTCTTTCATGGAGGAGGCTGGGTGTTTGGAAGTCTTGGTAAGATACTTGCTGGAAGGACTGTAGTAATGTAGAAAGAACATTCTCATCTTTCTATAAAACTGAAATAAGAGGAGGGTTCAGCATGGGATTTGGGAGGAAGTCTGAAGACAAAAGCCTGCCTTTCTGGAATGAACATTCCCTAGCTGTCTCAAGGATTAGGGCAATAGCACAGCACTAATGAAAACATTTCTTTTCCAGATACCTATGAAAAAGTATGTCGCTACATATCCAGAGAAAGTGGCTCGGTAGTTACATCTGTTCAGTAAGTGAACCCTGCCCTCTTCTACTCCATTTGGAGGTGATTGTTGCTGTGGTGTCATAGCAGAGCTGCACTGGATTTGGAGATGTGCTTTTTTTTGCAGAGAAATTTCTACTGAATTCAGTGAAGTCCATAAAGAGACAAACAGTGATAATGGAGATTTCATAGCTCGTTACTATTCAGGCCCTGATCCACACAAAAAAGACCCAAATGGAAATATTTGACACACTAAGAAAATTTATAAAAGCCAGTATCTTGAAGCCAAATCATTCTTGTGCCAAACATATGAATAAGATCCTCAAAATAACTGTATTTATTATAGAAAGAGAATAATCACACCATATTACTTTTAACACCTATGAAGCAAAGGCAGAAAATGATTAAATTATCTTGTCAAGGATACACAGGGAGTTTTCAGCATGACTAAGAAATGTACAAAGTCTCACTCAGACTTGTAATCAGAAGAGAATCTTAACGTTACTGAATCCTAGTGACTGAGTTCACAGTTTACAGCTTACCTGCAGTCACTAACTGAGAAACGCCTGCTTAGGGAGTAATGGGTACCCTCACCTAGAGGAAAAACACCCCAAAATGATAGGGCTGGAAGACAGCATAGGATACCATTTCCTGAATAATACCAACAACACTGCCTTCTCTTACTTTGGTTGTCTTTCTGTGTGCTAGGTATCGTTTAGCCCCTGAACACAAATACCCTGCTGCGTATGAAGACTGTCTTAATGCCACCATACACTTCATGAAGAAGGCAGAGCACTATGGTGTGGATCCTGCCAACATAACTGTCTGTGGGGACAGTGCTGGGGGCAATCTGGCAGCTGCTGTTAGCCAGACCCTTGCAGGTAGATCAGACCTCCCCAGCCTGCGTGCTCAGGTCTTGATCTACCCAGGCCTGCAGGCCCTGGACTTCAATTTACCATCCTACCATCAAAATCGAGGGGTCCCTCTCTTATTCCGAGAGCGTGCTGCTTTCTTTGCTCTGCAGTACCTCAATGGGCATGCGCTGCATATGCAAGAGGTCTTGGAGGGCTCTCATATTCCTCCGGATATGAGGCTGAAGTACAGGAAGTGGGTGAGCCCAGATCACATCCCCGAAAAATTTAAGATCAGAGGTGTTAAGCCACATGAGTCCACTGATTTTATTGCTGAAGTTTAGGAGACAGTGAAGAGATTCTGTGAGCCCAACCTGTGCCCGCTGCTGGCCGAAGATGCTGTGATTCAGCAGCTGCCCGAGTCTTTCATCCTGACTTGCGAGTATGATGTGCTGAGGGACGATGGTTTGCTTTACAAGAAGAGACTGGAGGACAATGGTGTTCCAGTGACCTGGTACCACCTCGAGGATGGATTCCATGGAATCATAAGCCTCTATGATTACTGTGGTTTGTCATTCCCATCTGGGAAAAGGGGATTGGACAGCGTTGTTAACTTCCTAAAAAGCTTATAGCAAACATCTTAGATTCCACGAGTCTGTTCTAGGAAAATGTCCTTTTAGGATACTGAATAATCAGGTGATGGGTAGTTAATCAAGAGCAGCCACTAACAATGACAAACAAGGCTCATCAGAACCTCATTCCAGCAGTTAGTTGGAACATGGAATATGCAAACCTTATACAAGCTTGTACCATGCTGCAAGCCCTTATCTTTAGCTTTGTCAATAAAGAAGAACATAATTTTCAATGGACATCCGGTTTGTTCTGCTTCTTTAAAACAAAATTTGTCCATGAAGAGAGACTATGTGTGTGCAGGTGCGTGTGGTGTGGTCTATGGAGGAGTATGTACTTTACATCAGGGTGTTGTGGGACAATAGGCTGTGCTCTGATTCTGAGCTGTATTAGAGAAAATATCCAGCTGATTTTCCTGGAGCCATTGTTTTGGTGAACAGGAAGTAGAATGTGGTTACTGGAACGACAGTCACCGTGGGATAGCAAACACAGATGGTTCTGTGGCTACGCAGTTCTATGCCTCACTCCCATTGCCCAGCACTCGGGCAGGCAGAAGTGGAGCCCCTTTCTGCCCTCGTTTTAGTGCTGGGCTACTGAGTAATCTTTCACCCACGTAACTTGAAGGACAATTCCAACAACCACGAGGGGTGATGTTGTTGAGACGAAGACATATGATAGCATCGCAAAACGATGGCCAGGACTGGTGGAAAATTGAACCCACATATTCCACTAAAGTTCTCATTGGAAACTGGCTGGAAGAGAGGAAAAGGGAAAGATGCAGTCCTGTGGAGGTAGTGTACTGCTGCAGTCGTGAGCTGCAGCCCAGGCTCATGTTGGAAGAGTAAATGAAAGGGAGAAAGATGAGTACCTTGCTTGGCCTACATAATTCTGTTCATGATCTGCCATTCTTCTTCTTAAGTCAGGACAGAGCAAGGCCTGAGCACAGGTTATAATGTGTGGTTCCCACTGCACATAACCTCAGCCAATTAAAAATGCTACAGCTCTGCTTTTGGCAGTCACTTCAGGCTGCTTTACATCTTATATACAACAACAATATATATGCCAACATTAGATAAAAGAGGCTTCATTAACCTGTAAGTTAATATTTACTATTACTTGTATCAGAGGATTTTTTTAACTTGGATATTGGTGTAATTTGCTGGTGTAAACATCTTTCCTCGCAGAGCTGCTTGCAGATTGCATGGCCTGCTTAAGAGCCAAGCAGAATTTCAGTATTAGACATCTGACTTTGTCAAAACATGTCAGTTGGATTCAATAGTAGAGCTGTAGAGGGCAAATCCTCCTGACTCTGCTAAAATGACTTCCTTTAGATTTTTTTTTTCCCCTGGAGCAAAATGCTAGACTATACTGCAGAGGCTGACCTGCTGCAGCAGAAGTGGCAACAAAGGGACAGAACAAACCCCCAAAAAGGGTTTATTAGTTCCTGTGGCAGGGGGAATTGTTTAACACCCATGAATAATTCTTCAAGGGCTGTGCAGTATTTTCCATTTACACCAAGGAATTGATCAGAATTTTACAGTGGTGGGTTATACCAGCTGACTTTACCATGTGAGAAAAAGTACATAACATGGCCTCTGTCCAAGTAAGTGCTTTTTAAATGCAGCTTCTGTAATTATCAGCTTGCCTTAGCTGTACTGAGCATTGTGTATCTCTCTAGTTCAGGAAAGACACTGGGAAACCAAACCACAGCATATACAGAACAGACTTCATTTGCTTCCCAGATCACAAACCAGACCAAATGCTAAGGAGAGCTATGGTGGAAAAACTGGAGGTAAGGAAAAGAAATTTCAAATTAACTTTGTGTGTAAAAGAAGATGCTGCAGCTCCATGGCCAGTTCACAGGATCCAGAGCTCCCTCGCATGTTTGATTCAAGCAGGATGCCTTCCAGAGGTAGCAACAGCACATGCTTCTTCGTACTCTAGGTGTTTCCCAGTCTCTGCCTTGGAGGGTGGCCAGGGGAGATGAAGAAAACCAGCACATTACTACCAGCTAGGACTGGGGATTGTGTCTTCAGGACATTCCCTGGGCTTTAATATGAGCTTGCTGATAAAAGAGGATTATTTCCATCAGCACACCTCCACTTCATAGGAACAAACTGCACTTAAACATGTCCCAGATCTTTCACAATACTTTTCCCACAAGGATCATCTGCTAGAATGTCCCTTTCCTCCAAGGTGCTTCTCCACCCCCAAATATTCTTATCATCTCTCCTGACAGACTGTTGGAAGGTAGTAAACGCAACGCTAGTGCATACTGAAACACTTAAGCAGCACCAGACAATCAGCTTTTCATTTGCAGGCTTCTTAGATGTATCTGCAAATCCATGATGCATGTGTTGAAATGAGACCAATCAGTTCTCATTACATACTGATGTAGTTGCTTAATTTAACTAGAAATTTACTTTACTTGAAATGCAAATGCCCTTATTTTCAGGGATTAAATTCTAAGTAATGTAAGTACTGGCCAAGTTTTATGGTATCACTGGGAGGACAGTCTGGCTCAAAAGCATGCTAAGCCAGCTGGGGGCTGTGTACAAAACCAATCGGTGTGGTTTCATGTACATCTCACTTCAGGGCCTGCCAAGGCAGCACTTCTTCACCCATCATGAGGAGCCAAGAAGCCGCAATTTAGTATCAGAGTATGATGATAAATACAACAGACATGGTTACAACCCTGTGCTGCCTCCCCTCCGCAAGTGGAGTGGACCCAAGTCTTCCTGGATTCCTCAGAAATCAGATTTCCCCATTACTGGTAGGTTTTGGCATTATTAATTCAATCAGATGAAACATGGTGCAGGGGTCAATATATAGACTTAGAGCCAGGAACCTCCTGTTTTAATTCTGTAATGGATTTTGTGGTGAATTTTGGCTGATGTCTTACCCAGTCAGTAGCTTGAAATTTGGATTGATGAAGTGGAAATGTTACCCACACAATACTTAATCACCACAGGAAGCAGTGAAGGGTAGTGCAAATGAACAGATTTCTCTCCCCTATTCAATAATGCAAGACACCAGCTGAAAACAAGGAGAGCTGTGAGACACAACTAGCAGCAGAATTCAGAGAGTATTATTATGTTTCTGAATTTAAGTGTACATTAATGTACATCTCTGTTAACTTTTAAGTATCTACCAGAAAGACTATAAAGAATCAAGACTCCTTATATTTATACAATTAACGCTGTTCTATCAGTATTTAAAAGTGACTTTTCCCTTCCATCCAGAGGGTAGGCACACATGCCCCACGAACAAAAAGATCCATTTTGTCCTTAATCTGCTGTCCAAATAGTACAAGTATTCCCTATGACATCTGTGGAGTAAAACCACCAGGATCAAAAGTTTAATTCTATCATTTCTAACATTCAATCATTTCCTGTCTCAGAACCACCCACCAACTATGGCCTTCTTGAGCACCTGATGAAAAAATGGCACAAGAAAGAAGCTGGGGTGATGAACAGTGTCTACACCATTTCCTATGAAACCCCACAGATTCCTGCTTTAGCTACTCATCATCGGAGACAACCACCTAAAACTCCTGGTCTCCTTCACATGCAGGAAAGTCTTCCCCAGAATGTTAGTGGAACCCTGGACTATGAAAGGCTTAGAAATATCTGCAAGTCATCAGCTGACTGGTGAGAGCCAGCAGAGCAAAGGGACGCCTCTGTCTAAACTGCTTAGGGTGATCTTAAGTACTACTTAATATAGCTTTGCTCATGGACGTGGGAATGATCTGTTCCATGCAGAAGCAATGAGAATTAGGTTATCTAGGCGGAGGGCTGTCTACTAGTTAGAACAAGTTGCTGGTTACATTCTGACTTGCAGATGGCTGGAAAATTTTCAGAGCATATTAAATCACTGAAAAAACAATTTAATCTGTTGGTTTCTAGTCAATTAATAGTTGCAGAAAGGAAAAAACCAAGAGCAGGACTGAACCTGAGAGGATATAAATCTCTTAATTGCTTTGTCCTTGGTTGTGCTTTCCATTTTCACACAGCTTGCTATCTACTTGTTTAAAGAAAGGGTAGAAAAGGAACTTGGGTTATTCTATTATGTGCCTAAAACATCCAAGAATAAAGTAAACATATGGAATGGCTGCCTGCCTAAGGACAAGGGGAACCAAGGTTTCTCCCAGTGCATAAACAAGCAGACCTTGATTGCCCTTGGCTTTACATCCTGAATGGCACTTAGTGGTAGATAAACTGCAGAGTAAACTGCATTAGCCAACCTGACATTACCAAACAGTAAACCTAGAATAAATAGCTGTGGGTGTCCTTTATACTGCTGGATGGGCCACCCTGATACTTTAGTCAGTTGAGAGAGCATGGGAAGAACCTATGTTGAAAGTGCTGGCAGAATCCAAATTCTTACTATACTGCTGTGCAACTTCTGCACCTAAACCACATCTGGTCCTGAGGAGCTATCTGCAAGGTTCAGCTGCTGTTGATCTGAGGCTTAACAATAAACTGGCAGCAAGTTAAAGGCTTAGATTAAATATATCTGGATTTAATTGAGTGTATATTTATCTCTAAATCAATTTTGCTCAAAATTAGCAGTAATATATTTATTTTTAGGAGCAAGATAAAGCATATACCTTAGTCTTGGCATGGACAAGCCTCTGGCCATGGTCTGTACAGAGTTTTACCTCTGTAACATTTCAGTCACTGTGGTTAAAGTTTGCTTTTTCAAGGTTGGATTTTCAACTGAAGGACCCCGATGGTTCAGATGCGTGTGTAGAGCAACAGTGGCACCTATTGGCAAAGTAATTCCTCACCAAGCTGGGAGAGATCCTAAACTGTCTGCGGGGCCCATGAATCAGAAAGCAGCTTTGGTAATGAAGTCTTTTAGAGATGCAAGAGCCCTGATAATAGCAAAGCATCATCTGGCGTTACTTTGGCTTCAAAGCCTCAGGGAGATCAAAGGCAATGAGAAAAAACTGAAAGCAAAAGAGGTGAAAGCAGCCATTGAAACACAGGCAGCTATTAGTGCTGTGCTGCAGAAACATGTTCTCTTGACAAACAGCTTTAAAATAATCCATAAAGAAGACATTCTCACAATGGGACACAAATTAGTCGCTACAGAAATTCTTGTAGCCACAAGGAAGTCCATCCAGATTAACTTTATTACTATGGAAATATGACTATTAAAAATGCATTTTTCTGTTTATTACCCACCTGCTAAGCTTTTAAATGAAAATACCACCCAGGCATGCATCCTAATAACTGTTATGTTATTAGGATGTGTAGAATACAGTTTAGGAAACTATAGAAAGAGTCTTTACTTCATGCAACTCTCAGTTTGCTTAAAAATCTGCTCATCAATCATTCATAGGTATTAAATATTTACAGTAAATGAAACATTTATAGTTATTACCTACTGTGCTTCTAGAATCAAAGCGCATATATGGAAAGAAATGGCCGGATGATGTACAGGGAATTACTGAGATGCACAAGTCCCACCTATGAAGCCTCTGCAAACATTAATTCCCAATCTGGAAGCTGGGCAGCGCTCCCCAGCACAGGTCTAAGATGTTCAACTGCTGAGGCATTTATGAGTAAAATATAAAACTACAACACCGAAAGGGACCACAGCAAGCTCAGTAGCTAAGTAGATGAAATGCATTTTGATAGGGAGATTCTTACACAGACAAATGCACAACTCCACAAGACACGTCAGTTGTGATTAACAACATCCGGGAGTAAAATATCCACTTTGAAGTGTTTAACTGATAAGCTGTTGTCACTTCAGCAATACTGAGCATCCAGCCCAGATAGAAGTCTGATGAGGAAGGGCTGAGGGACTGGGAGGAAGTTTAGTGTGGAGAAGAGAAGGCTCAGGGGGGACCTTATTGCTCTCTGCAACTGCCTGACAGGAGGATGGAGCCAGGAGGGGGCTGGTCTCTGCTCCCAAGGAACAATGGAGGGGACAAGAGGAAACGGCCTCAAGCTGCACCAGGGCAGGTTTAGATGGAGCTGAGGAACAATTCCTTGCCCAGAGGGTGCTCAGGCATTGGAACAGGCTGCCCAGGGCAGTGCTGGAGTCACCGTCCCTGCAAGTGTTCACAGCCCGTGTAGCCGAGGCCTCAGTGCCCTGGGTTAGTGGTGGCCTTGGCAGTGCTGGGAACGGTTGGACTTGAAGAACTTAAAGGTCATTTCCAGCCTGGCTGAATCTGTGATTCTATGATATCTAGTGAGCTTTTTGGTGACTCAAGCCTCAAGCTGAACTGACGACAGGATCCAGGCTTCTCCATCTCTTGATGAAGTTCAGTGAAGGAGGAATCAAACACCTCCTAGCCAGTAACCAAAACTGAATGAACGTATCTCAAACATGTTGCTCAAATATTCTACAAGACAAAATTTCAGACAGAAGAGCACTGATAGTGAAGCTTCCTCCCCCT